TTCCACGTGAAACCGTTCTCTAATCTTACACCTATATTTTGGAGAGCAATTCTGCATGAAATCGCTCTCCAATCTTAACTTTGAGAGCGGTCGTTTAACCGCTCTCTTAAATATAACACATCAGATAGCGCAAGATTTTAGAGCAGTTCTAAACGTTATCTAATTTAAAACAGAACTGCTCTTAGATCTCCATTCTGGCGTAGTGTGAAATAAAATTTAAGATGTCCGCATACATATATCTTAAACTACTAAATAGAAACTTCTATACTTAAACTATCCAAATAGTTAATGTCAATTTTTAGGATAAGAAAGTGGATAATTTAACTAGTTTCAATACACTTTTCATCAATAAATAAAAATTTAAAATACTTTAAAAAAATTACTTCAATTAGGTTATAAATCTACTTATTATCCCAATTTTTTAAGGCTCAATTCTATTAGTCTACTAGTGAATAGTAGTTTATAGTAAAAAAATTGTTATGTTTATTCTTTAATTAGATTTATATAGATTTTACCTTATAAAACTAGTAAATTTCTTTTTGATTTAGGGAAGGTTTTGTTATCTACCCTTCTACAATTTCAAAACATAAAATTCATCAAATAGAATTTGGGTAGGTAATTGACACCTAATCAATGCCTTATGTAATCTACTCAATAGACCTTTTGATAAGTCTATATTTTGACATGTTTTTATAGTTTATATATTTATTTATGACTATTATTTTATCAAGTTTTTATACTAATTTCTATAATTATTGTGCATATTAATATAAGAAGCCACAATTAGGTTTTTGGCGTATTTTGAGCTCAAATTGGTTGGAAAATAAGGCTTCACAGCAGTCAATATGACCATACCTTAGCAATCAGCACAGAGGTACTTCAAGCCATATGCACAACCGTGCTGATGATCTTGCATAATCGTGACTGCAAGAAGTCAAACATTGAAGAAATTTTAGGATTTTCAAACTCTATTAAAGAGACCTTAGCTACAGCCACTTAGGCATCCGTTTGATATTATACTTTTCATGCCTTTTATACATATTTTTCACATCCTCAAATTTAGTTTTAGCCAGTAACTAACGACTACAAGCTTTAGGAGCGCATCTTGGGATCAAGAGCTCTCTTCTCCATTGGAGACTCGTCTAGTTTACATTTAATTTTTGAATAATTATGGATTTATTTTGTATTATTTTAGTTTTCTTTTATATTATGTTTAGTTAAATCCATAACTAGGGCTATGGTAGATTCTTTCCATGACTCTATAAAATTTTTATAATTTATGATAATTTCTTGTTTCCGTTCTTGATTAGTATTTATCCTATTACATCATATTTGTATGTTAGAATTGACAACTCTTGAACGGATCATAATTAATTATATTGTAAGCGACCGTACCACATATAGTTAATGGATCTATAAGGTAAAATGATACAAAAGATTAGGTGGACTAAATTTAGTTTTTTTCTTTCAACCGTTATTAAGCTGATAAACTCTTTATGCTTTCTCTATCTTTTATCTTGCATGATTATTGAGGGTGATAGTTTAGATAAAAGACTGTTAACATTGCATGACCATTGGGTGTTAATGGATTTAGTATGAGTGATTGACAATCATAAAAAAACTAAAATTGGAATTAATATAACAGTGAACATAGAGAAGTGTAAAGGTAAAATCATACGCCTTAGGTTCTTCTCAATTAATTTTATTGTTAGTGGTTGCGCTATTTTATTTTTTCATTTAGTTTTATATTTAAATTCTTCTTTTATTTACTTTCGCATCCTTTAAATATAAACAGTTAAATTAAAAAATTCTTGATAATTGAAAATAATGATTATAGGATGATATTTTAGGAACTTCTTATAGAATCCTTTATTATTTTTTAATGGGTACGCTTTCTCATGAACAAGTTTTTGGCGCCTTTGTTAAGGATTATTTTTTCTAATAATAAGAAAATTTCATATTTAATTAATTTGAGCAGTTATTATTTTATTTAAGTTTAATTTTATTTTATTTATTTTTGTCTTTTCTATTTTAGCTATTCTGTTTTATTTATTTTTATTTTTATAAAAAAAATTTAGTGTATGCTAAGCGTGTACATGCGTATGTGTCTTAGCCATCAAATATTAAGGTGCCGTGAGTGGAGAGTGAGGAAGAATTCACGTGCAGCTCAAAGAAATGACAATTGCCACATTTCATGAATTACTAGAAGTGGAGACCGAGGTTACATGGGAGAAAAGAATAAAATTTGACATATGAAAATTCTTGGAATGAAAAATCTCTCAAATGTTTTGGACAAAATTTTAATCACTAACATGCATTAAGAGAGATATAAACTAAATTAAAAAATTATAAATTTAAATTTTAAGAAATATAAAGCGAGAATTTGGGGTGTTACATCATTAGCATTTGCTTTTGTTTTCTTTGCATGTTTCAAAAGAAGAGTTATTACAACTTATTACTTCATTTGCAACTACGGTTAACTATTGAGATGGTTTTCCCTTGTTACTAGTGTAGGTGCAAATTTAGTGGCATTTGTGACAGTTCTTAGAGGAGACAAATTTTATGTATTAAAGTTTATATTCATTCAATTAAAGTTTATATCATTTCTATGTTGAATTACATTAAAGTTTAACTATTATTACAAATATTGATAGTTTACATAATTCAATTAAAGTGAAGTTTAGATCATTCAATTAAGTTAATAACTATTAGTACTTAATATCAAATATTTACAAAGAAATAAGAATATAATAAATAATAGAAAAAAAATCACGAAATACACATATATTACATCATATATCATAACATGATATCAAATATATACACATTCATTCACATAATAGCCATATCACATATTCATATTCAAAGTAAAAGCATTGCTATTACTTCATATCATACTACAATATCACATTTATACAATCACAAGAGAATAAGAGCACATGATACTCTCAGTTTTAAAAAAATAATAGAATATCCTATCTTCACTACATCATATATTATAATATATCACATATTTACAACATACTTAACAAACATTCATAGAGACATAACATAATAAATGTAACGCCCCAAATTTTGTAATATTGTTTGATTATTAATATATATGTGTAAATTGATGTTTGAATGTGCATTTGATTGTGTGATAAGCTAGTGTGAATATGTGCAATGTATAAATATGCGTACGTTTGTATAGCACGATTAAAAGATGAATGTGGACTTGTGGTTGGATTAGAAATATAGGCTAAGTGTGTGTTATAGGGATGTTCTCGCTGTAGCACATAGATTTTGGCTGTAGCAAGAAGGCCCTGGGTGTAGAGCATGGATTTGTGCCGTTCTCGCTGTAACGAGAGGATCCTCGCGTAGCGAGAAGTTCTTGGAAGAAATGGATGATTCTCTTGTGTTCTCGCTGTAGCGAAAGGCTTCTCACTGTGGCGAGAAGGCAACAGAGAGGGGTGCATTTCTAGGTTACAGTCTCACTGTAGCGAGAGGGTCTCGCTGTAGCGAGAGGGTCTCGCTGTAGCGAGATTATGTAAAAACCAGAATGCAGTTTCATCTGAGATTTTTGTTATAGTGAGATGGGGTGTTGCAGCAGTGATGGGAGAGATGGCTTGTTGTAGTGAGAGTGTTGCAACCAAAAGGGTATTTGAGGGGTTTAAGGTTTGAAAAATTTATTTCCCATTCCTCTCTTCAAACTATCTGGCGACTATCCATGGTGTGAACTGAGTAAGTACTTGAGGTTGAGGACATCAAGAATCTGTGATCACAATGCCACAGTGAGCGTGGCTAGCATGTAGTGAGCGCACGTGAGTGTAAATTGTTTGATGGTGTAGTGAGCGCACCTGTGTATGAATGAGAATGATATATTGAAATTACTACTTTATGTTTGTTGATGAATGATTTAAATTATGTTAGGAAATATGTAGAAGTGTGCAAGGTGAGTTTTTATACGTGATAGTGTAAAGTACTCACCCTCACATTTATTTTCAGGTGATCAAGACGATCAGTATCGGACTTAGTGAAAAGATGAATGAAACTGCTATAAGATTTAGAAATTTATTTTGAAAAATTGATGTATTTAAATTAGTCATGTAGTATTAATTTAATTCAAACTTGTAATTCATCTTTATTTTAAAAAACTTTATTAAAAGCAGAAACTAATTGAATAAAAATATTTAGCTATTTTCATTTATTATAAAATTTATTTATTTTAAAAATTAAATTTAAGGTATTACAGCAAATAGATAATATAAAAGACTTTTCACTTCATATGCAGTAGTAATGTTATGTTGTTATTCCCCAACTAGACATGGTTCTCATCAGACATTCTATGAAAGGGTAATAACAATTAAAAAAATAAGCAATAAATCATTTAGAAAATAAAAGTGCAAGATTCATCACAAGCAATAGGTGAATATTGTTCTCGTTTCCTTGTTATTTTCAAGTTCAAACAACAAAAATAGGAACAAATAAACAAACAAACAAACAAATGTTTAAAAAGAAGAAATGAAATAAGTTTTAAAAAATATAACTCTTAATCCCTAGTTACATTCAAATCAAGACTCCATAGCACTTCATAGTTCTTTCTTATTCCTTTAGTGTTCTGGATGATGTGTTTTCTTTGTTCTCAATCTTCTTATTATAATCGATCAATTACTCACGTCAACTTAGAAAAAGGTGTTTTCTTGTATTAATAATATTTTTAAATAAAAAAAACTTTTTATTTTAATTTTGTAATCATTGCCCACATCGCTGGTTAGCATTAATTTTTTTAATTACGTAGAGTTGAGTTGAAGCAGGTAATATGGTCGTGTAAGTAAATTTCAGAAGTAGTAGTAAGAATGTCGTGCTGCTTGGATTATACGGCATGGCTTTGACACGGGTTCAAAATACACAGTTGATACAGTTAAAAGGGAAAAGATGGTTGAACTTGAACTCAACAGCGTGACGTAGTTGGGTTTTGGTGCCTATATGGTATTCTGAGATGGACCTTTCATCAAACCGCACATAAAGAATACCACAAAATTCGCAAAACCACCTTCTTCCTCGTCTTCAACAATAAACCATTGTTTCCTTCGTAGTTGGTCCCTTTTTCTTCAAAGCAAATCCACTCTCAAATATTCTTACCTGTCTCTCTCGTTGTTGCTGGGAAGAACCCATTTCCCTTTCTTCCAGAAGATGAGTCTGTGAAGCCCCACTCCTAAGAAATCTCTCACAACTACTTTCTCTTGTGACGTCTTAACCATCACCACCCTCACCTTCTTCCGCTGACCATTATTGACTTTCTTTTTCCTTATAATCTTAGTTCTTTCCATTTGCAGTTGCAGCCATCACTGAGGTTCCTTGGATCAAAGTGTTTCTGGGGTTCGCCAAAAAATGATTTTTCTTAAGTGGGGTTTCGTCGCCCTTCTTTGTGCTGCTTTTGTTTCTTCAATTGGTGCGGTGGAACTCGGTCGACATCAACCTACTGAGAGAATTTCAGGTGAGTTTATTCAAAGTTCAATTTTTTGTTTTTAATTTTCTTGTCAACTTTTTTCATCAGATTCTTGTTTAGCTCGCCATATCATAAGTTCTCTTGATTTGATTGGTTTGGTAATGTTCTATTGATTTTTTGGGTCTCGGATTTCAATTGTGATGAATTTCTTTCCGGTTAGTTGTCGCATTGGTTTGACTATTTCTTGTGATGGTTTTCCGTGGTACGTCATAAGTATGGATTTAGTTAAGATGATAAGATCTACTATGGTTTGGGATTTATTCGGGAAATATGTGTTTTGCATAAGTTGTTGACTTGTTTTTTGTTGGAGATGTTATTCTTCCGTTCACCATTTGAATTGCAGGATGTTGGTTCCTAAGCATTGCGTGTAGTTACTTATTCTTAAAATTGTCAAACCTGCCTTTTAGATCTCTAGTTTCTGTGTCCTAAAATTGTTCTGGTTCAATATTTTGAGGGTGGACGCACTTGTAGCATAGTACATTTTAGGGACTGATGTTGTGTAGCTGATTCTGTTGTAATATATATAGCAATGCTAGAACAGTTGCTTGTCTTCTGCATAAGGGTCCGGGGCCAGATGCAATAAGCTATATATTTGAAATTTATCAAAGGATTTGAGGAAGAAATTCATTGAAAGGGGCAATTAATCAATTTAGGGTCGTGTTAGTCAATTTTCACTTTGGTGGGGTTATTTGGACTGACAGTCCTTGATGACCTTTTTCACTTCTTCTAAGTCTTGCCCTGGCAAGGATGAGGTGGAGGAAATATCAATTAGTTTGATATTGAGTTTTCTGTTAATGTTTTCTTCATTCATAACAAACATCCAATGGTCCAGAATAGGATGCATCCGAAATTTTAAATTTGTTGATTTCTTAAGTTTGTTAAGAATGTGGTTTGGGGAGTGTCAATTTTAAAGTACCTTAGCATCAAAGGCTAGCAATCATCATAAGAGGTTGGAAAAATAATAGATATTTATGTAGCGGAAACTTTAAAGATATTGCATAGTAGGGCTCATTGTTTCCAGGTCAGTTGAGTGACTTCGGATGCTCTTGAGACTTTAAAGGTACAGGTTTCATTACCAGTCTCAGAGATCAGGTGTGCTGAGGTTGCTAAGAAATTTGTAATCAAAAAGGTCGGGTCAACATGAGTCTTGTATCAGTCCCGATGGTTAGGGCTCTGGTACATAGAACTATTACTTGATATGAAAAAGAGGCATGATTCGTTGTTGTTTTAAATTATTATTGAAGTGATGCCATCTTTTGAGCATTCTTTATCATTAAGGTTAGAGGTGAATGAAGTAAAACTTGCTTTATAATACCATACTGCTTTTCTTGCAGCCAGCTAAGGGAAAAATGAATGTTCTATATGCATTTGGTATCACTGAATATAGATGCTGCTCCCTTACTGTATAGGTACTTAAATGTTATGAAGGCATTAAAAATCAACTCACCATAATGGTATACAAATTGTGGAAAGTATCATATGTTGGATTAAGATTCACTGAGGAAGCAGCTGGAATGGGAGTGATGGTAAAAGAGGAGTTTTTATATGAAACTCTAATAATACATAAACACAAACAAAGTCTTATACTCCATTAGTTGTTGCTTGGAAGTGAAAGGGTTAGTAAGTAGTCTTCTCTGTTATTTTTTCAATGACTTACATTAAGCAATTCTGATTCAGGACTTGGGAAATAAATTGGGGTCAAATCCATGTCTCTGAATTCTCTGTGGTCAAGTTTATTTCAAAGTCAGTATATTATAGTTAGATAAAAAATGAGACTACTAAACATGCGGTTGAACCAATTGTAGGAAGTGCCGGTGATGTGTTGGAAGATGATCCGGTGGGAAGGTTGAAGGTTTTTGTTTATGAACTTCCAAGCAAGTATAATAAAAAAATTCTGCAGAAGGACCCCAGATGCCTCACTCATATGTTTGCTGCTGAGATCTTTATGCACCGGTTTCTCTTATCTAGCCCTGTTCGAACCCTTAATCCTGAAGAAGCTGATTGGTTTTATACCCCTGTATACACCACCTGTGACTTGACACCAAATGGCCTCCCTTTACCTTTCAAGTCACCACGAATGATGAGAAGTGCCATACAGCTTATTTCTTCAAACTGGCCTTATTGGAACAGGACAGAAGGGGCAGATCATTTCTTTGTCACCCCTCATGATTTTGGGGCCTGCTTCCATTATCAAGTACGTTAATATACGATTTTAATTTTGTTTTTTATATCACTATTAGTTCTACTTAAGCATTTAAACTAATTATTTGATGTTTGGTGAGAAGCACCTAGGATTCCACTGTTAAAATTGTACATGGATGTTTTAACATGCACTTTTATCATGTTATTTTGTTCCAGGAAGAGAAAGCAATTGAAAGAGGAATTCTTCATTTGCTACAGCGTGCTACCCTGGTTCAAACATTTGGACAAAGGAATCATGTGTGCTTGAAAGATGGCTCAATCACCATTCCTCCATATGCTCCACCACAGAAAATGCATGCACATCTAATTCCTGAAAATACTCCCAGATCCATTTTTGTTTACTTCCGAGGACTGTTTTATGATGTTGGAAATGACCCTGAAGGTGGCTACTATGCAAGGTAGGTTTTTCATTTATTTTGTAGCACGTCTTCATAAGACATTTGCATCCTTTTATTGAAAATGCAAGCAGAACACTAAACTCAAAATTTATATAATTATGGTATTAAGTAGTTATTGACCCCAGTCAAGCATAATTAGATTAACTATATTCTTGACATAATTGGTTATTTCTAACATTCTGCTTGAAAACCAAGTAATATAAGTACATGTGAAGTTTGCTTCCATAATGAAACATAGAACAATAAATGATCCTGAGTTCCTGATAGCCAAACTGACTGCATTATGGCATATCTCACAGAGGTGCAAGAGCAGCAGTATGGGAGAATTTCAAGGACAATCCACTGTTTGACATTTCCACAGAACATCCAACCACATACTACGAGGACATGCAAAGAGCCGTGTTCTGTTTGTGTCCACTTGGGTGGGCACCATGGAGCCCAAGACTAGTTGAAGCTGTGATATTTGGTTGCATCCCAGTAATCATTGCAGATGATATTGTTCTTCCATTTGCTGATGCAATCCCATGGGAAGAGATAGGTGTGTTTGTTGATGAGAAGGATGTACCTCAGTTAGACACTATACTCACATCTATCCCACCAGAAGTTATCTTAAGGAAGCAGAGATTGCTTGCCAACCCTTCCATGAAGCAAGCTATGTTGTTCCCACAACCTGCACAACCAGGAGATGCTTTCCATCAAGTTTTAAACGGTCTTGCACGCAAGTTGCCGCACGATAAGAGCATTTTCTTGAAACCTGGGCAGAAGGTCTTGAATTGGACTGCTGGCCCTGTGGGTGACCTTAAACCTTGGTAACATTTGCACCAGTTTTCTGAGGCAATTAGGATTCTTTACATATCTTTCTCTATACTCCCAAGTGTTCATAGATGGGGTTGGTAATGGAGATGCTGTTGGGTTTTGTTGACATTGTAAATTTTGATATATCTTTTTTTTTCAGACCATTCATTAGATCATTTAATATCCATTTTTCAGCTTTATTGCTCATATGATATACACTTTTTTTTCCTCCCCTCTTCTTTAGAAGTCCCTGTCGATGTTTACTGCATATTATAGTTAGTAACCTTGCTCCCACACAATGGAAATCAAGATCATGAATCATGATGTCATTAATACATCATGAAAAACGTTTAACATCAATTTTTAGGACTGATTTTTAATTGGAAAAAATATTTATTATATTTTTATGTTTTGATGTTATAATTGTTTTAATAAAATTTTATTACTTTTAGATGTTTAAAATCAATTTTAAGGCTGATATTAATGAAGTTGATACATTGTAAGTTTTTTGTTTAGGTTTGCCTTTTCTGATGATAGTAGTTAACTTTATAATGAGTTATTCTTGTTGGAATAATAATTTGAATGTACCTATCATGTGACTATAATAACAACAAGGTTTAATGCATTGGTAAACTTTGTTTTCATTCTCATGATCAATCTTCACTTCTGTATAAGGATATTGATTCTTTTGAAAGGAAAGTTACGGGTTCGGTGATAATATCATTGTTGTTTATTCTATGGTTGGTAAGGGTGGTCCCATTGCCATGGCTGGCAATGGAGTTTCAAGTTTCAACACGGTTCATTGTTTTTGGCGTTTGTCTTTCCTTTCTTTGATGAAATATTTCGAATATCGTAATTAGTAGATTTTAAATTTATTCGTGTGTCCTATCTGTGACCCATCTATGCTATAAAGTCCTAGCCGTCCAAAAAATGCGGGGCACAGACTATTTAGAAAAAAAAAAAATTTCCTAATTTGATTTTTCTTTTGCATATTAAATTTTTGATAAAATTAATCTTTTCTTCCATTAACATAAAATTTACTTTCATTCTCAAACATTCTTTTGGTTTATTTTAATTCTTTAACTTTTAAAAAAGTTTTAAACACATATCCTTTTTTATTAAAAACTCTAAATTTATTAGGAAGTTTTGTTGTTTTGTACTATGTGTACTATATATTACTGTTTATCGTCTTCTTCTTTAGAACTCTGATCTGGTTTTTAGCACTTTTTCTTCTTCTTTTTCTCTTTCATCTTCATCTTCTTATACTCAAAATTTCATCTTCTTACTATTAATAACAAATACTTATCCTCAAATCTCAAATCATAAATAATTTAATTTTCTAATACACATTTTCTATTTCTGGTAAATTTGAACACACATTCTCATTTTTTATTTTATTAATTTTTCATACTACCCTAACCTCTCAAACTTTCATTAGCAAAAATACTGTGTGTTCCAGAAGCATAAAACATAATATAAAAATAAACACATACCACCAAAGATGAAAAATGAGTATTTAGAAAGTTAATTTGTTTATGATTTGGGATTTCGAGATGAGTGTTTAGTGTTAGTGGCAAGAAAATAGAGTTTTGAGTATAAGGAGATGACGATAAAAGGAAGAAGAAAGAAGAAAAGTTACTGGAAACCAGGTTAGAATTCTAAGAAGGAAGATCATGAACAGTAACACAGTACTGTGTGACACACAATAAAACTTTCATGGAAAAAGACATGTTTAAAACTATTTTAAAAGTTAGAGGACTAAAATAAATAATAAAAAAATTAAAGTATAAAAAATTTTACCTTAAAGTTAAGAGACGAAAAGAGTAATTTTACTTAAATTTTTTATTAGTATTTATTTTATATAGGAAATAATTATCTGTTAAATTTTTTATTTAATTTTTCAAAAAAATATTTTGATTAAAAAACTGAAAATAATGGAATTTTTAATAATAAGCCTCACAATTACTCTTGCCAAAATTTTATTTGTCTGTCAAAATTTTTTATTATTAGCTTAGTTATACTTTTAGTTTCTATAATTTTTTAACTCTCAAAATATTATTTTAATCTTTAATTTTTAAAAATTTAATATTTTTAGTCATTAATGAGACATGATTTACTTGAATTATCTTTATTCTACATTTTAGTCTGTATAATTTTTCTACAAATTAGTTCATATTATTTTAAGTTGTAACGGTGTTAACATGGATCACAACATAAAATAATATACAATATATAAAAATTAAAATATAGATTTTTTATATGTATGGACTAAAATGAAGTATAGTTATAAAAACTAAAATAGAAACATTAATAAGTATAGGACTAAATTTTTTATAGTAATAGAGATGAAAATAGGTAAAGTTGTTCGGCAGAGTTACAATTTAACATTTTTAAAGTCTAGCCCGACCTATCCTATTTAATTAATAAGCTTAATTTAGATTTTTTAAAAATTTTAATTAATTAAATAAGTTAGACTTAAACTTAAGAAAAATTATATGTCTATTAAAATAGCTTATTTAAAACTCATAAAATTTATATTAATATATTAAATAATTTTATATAAAAATTATAACATAATAATATATTAAATAAATTAAATTTTAAAATAAATAAAATTTTAAATTAAAAATACTAATTTTTTCATTGGAGTTAAAAAGTGTATCAACTACACACTTTCTACAAAAGAAAGCCTTACTTGTTAGAATCTTTTGCGTATATCTTATATGCACAATGTTGATTTACATTTACATGGTCTCAATTAAGTATGTCTATGGCTGGTTCATTTCATTTCATCTCATCCATATCTTTTTATGCACTTATTTATATTATATTATATGTAACTTTTTTTAGTACGAAAACACTAATAAGATTAAGCATGCTTTTAAAAAGGTCAGACTTAATAAAAAGTCTGTGATTAATAATAGGTCAAATTTAAATTTCAAAATCATTAAATAAGTCAGACTTATTTATATAAAATTTAACCTATTTTTATTCTTACATAACAGGGACTAATATATAAATAATATTTTATATAAGAATCAAAATGTTTACATAACAGGGACTAATATATAAATAATATTTTATATAAGAATCAAAATGTAAAATTTTTATATGTAACGACTAAAATAAAAAAATAATATAAGTGTAGCGACTGTAATTGAAAAATGTAGGAAAAAAAATTTAGCTATGGAAGAGAATCTGAGCAGCAAAACATTTCTTTAATTTTCTTTTCCCCGAAAATGTTACACACATTTTAGGCAGCAGTGCTCAAGCAGGCTTAGCCTAACTGCTTTACTATAAGTTTTCGGATCATGGAACATCTCAGCTGCCTTTCAGTACCTTTTTTTTCAAGTTTTATTCACTAATGCTAAGCACTAATTAAAATTATTTAAAATAAAAAATTATTAAAAACTATATAGAGAATGCATTAATAACACTAATAAAAAAATTTTGTTTTTTAATTTTTAGCCGATCCGTTAAGAATAATAACATTTGCCTTTAACTTAATACTAGCATTTCAATAACCCTTATGTGTGATTGTACTAATGGATCATGTTATTATTTCTAGAACCATTGAAGCAAGAATATTGGATTTACAATGCAGCCCCGGAAACTTACACAGAATGCTTTGATTTGATTAGGTGCTTAAATGCCTGCAAAACAAGGCTAAACCAAGTACCTTTTTGGCTGTCCTACCTTTCATATTAATAATTGTAACTCTCAGCAAGCAGATTTGGCAAATTTCTTCAATGGCACTGTATGCATATGCGGCATGGCATTAGTACTGCAATAGCCTTAGAACTTAAGCACGCAAACTGTATCATATTGCCTCATATCATCATCATCATCATAATAATAATATCTTGCTTTGGCTTATTTATGTCTATCCCAGACTGTTGATGAATAATATAATCACTACAAACTTACATCTAACAAATTCTTTTGGAAAGTTTTAAATCACAGGAAGAGAGATATTGGCAGCCAATTTTCACACCCACAAGAAGATAATTCTACTTGTTATCGCTAATTTTGAAGGAATTTGTGCAATTGACATGCATTTAACTATTTTTAGCCATTAAGGTTAGAATCATGGTAGTTAGTATTGTACGATTCGTGAAACGATAATACCAATTCCATTCAATTCCTTAATTCAAAGATATGGATCATAGGAGAGTATCAATTTCGTCCAGAATCGTTCCAGAATCGCGTGAATCATAGAGCTAAATTACGATTTTAGACGGTAGCGTATGATTTATTTTTGTTAACGGGACAAACTTATTATTTGAATTTTAACTTGCTTTTAAGAATATGTCACATTATTAGCTATACACTATTTTGATTTTCTTTTATGTTACAATAATCTTATATTTATGTTTTAAATTATTGATCTTGCGATTTATGATACAATTCAATTCACAATTTAAAAATCAGGTTTCATGATTCCCAACTTAAATCCCAATGATTCACAGCTTAAATCCCGATTTAACTATTTTGCAAGCACATCTTTTGGTGTCCTTTTGATTTTGTGAAGTACTTTTAGATGCATGTATACAAAAAATATCAAAACTAAAAGAGATAAAAGATAAACATATACAGTATTATATATGGTGTTAACTTTTAGATGTTCAAATAACGAAACTTAACGTGAAATAGTCACAACTCACAAGATTTCACAATGCTCAAGCACAAGAGTATTTCATAAGCTGAATTTCGGAAGAACAATTAGATTATCTAGTCTTCAGAACCTCTCGACAACATAGGGGACAAGAAAGGAATTGAAAAATGTTACTCTTAATTTGCTAGTACCTAATGGTTACTACATATTCTAAAGTGTGGGGCTATAGCAGAAATGCATTGATACTTCTTAGTTCAAATAAGATAAAATTGAATGACATGCTATCTACCTGGACTTGAGACACAAATCAATTGCACTTACACATTTACAGAGTGACCTTATGTTTCACAAGTATTTTCTTATCTTCTTGTCTCTCTTTTTCACTCTCACTCAATTAACTCAGTATCTGTCAACTGCGTTACATAGGAAGAGCAAAGGGAAACAGAAATGGCCTTAACACTGCTACTGCAAGGTCCCCCACCTTCATTAGCCTCACTGACAATGTTGGCCTGTGACCACTCTGCAATCCTTTTTCTTTGAAAAGTCAGTTTTTTTCTCCGGTTACCTCTTACTTCATCCTAATCAACAGCATCTTACTTCTAGAATTGTCAGGATTTGCGTGCGTATCTGTTGTCATTGCATTGCGGGTTTTCTTTCATCTCTTCACCCTTTATTATTCTCACAATGATAGATGAATGAAGTCTGTCTTTATGAACTTCTTATTTATATACTGCAACAATCTTATGCTTCTTTCTATTGCAGCTGCCGCGGGAATTGGTATTAAACTTCAATTTGAACAACAAAATTTTAGTGGATGTTTGGTTGCATTGGCCTTTCATTTGTTTATTTAGTTCAATTTTCGCATGGTTCTATCTGATTCCTTCTGTTCATTTTCCAGTAGCTAAGTAGTATGTTTTCACAAGTTAAACTGAAAATAAAGCAGAAATATTACAAAAGTGACTTCGAGTTTTATTTGCAGGACGTTTGCCATCTGACTGAACAAAAGCCGTCAAACACTGTGATACTATCACCTTGGGCCACTTCTATTAATGCTAAACTTCTAGGTCTTCAATACATCAAAAGCCCTCTAAGAAAATATTTTAAGAATATCCATCCAATTTGACAGAAGTGTTGACATATAACAGGTGATAGAAGAAAAATATTGATGTGTATTTACCTTGTGATGAAAATTAAACTAGGCTTAATTGCTTCACCCTTACAAAAATTATACAATTTAAATTTAGTCTCTGTAAATTATTTTGTTAGAATATAATTCCTATACTTTTATAAACTATTATTTTTAATTTTTCAGACAGTCAAGTAATAGCTTTTGATTGAATCACATCAATTAAAAAGACTAAAAACAATAATTCATAGAAAATGAAAACTATATTCTAACAAAAAAAAATTTGATAGAAATCAAGATTAAATTGTGCAATTTTTATAAAGATTAAAAACTTAATTAAACTATTAAATTATTTTAAGAAATGATTACAGGTATAATCAATTATCGTTCATTCAACGAAATAAACATCATAGTTATATGTATTTGATGAAAAGCAATTTCAAAGCAATCCATTTCATTCAAATTGTTTAAAAAAGTATTTTTATAATAAAATAATAAAAAGACAATTTTTATAATAACATTTTATATTTAAATTAATTAATTACTAGAGATAAAATAGGAAACTTAAAGTTAGCTTAAATATAAGTTATTTTTAATAATAAGTTCCACAATTATCATAAACAAATTCCTTTATTGAAGTTATATTCTTTAATTATAATCTAAATCACCAGACACATTTGAATGATATCACCAATAGTGTTTTTTTTTTCATAATTAAATTATAATATCTAAACAAAATCTAATCCAAAAATGCTCTAAGAAGCCAGCTTTTTATTTGACTTTTGCTTTTAACTCTAGTCTGAAATGAAAATATTGACAAGATAGTACTGACTAACGAGAAAGACATATTGACAGAGCTACAGTAACATAATTACACACTCCGATTATATGGAACGCTTTCATTCTTGTAAAACGAATGAACCCTCTATTCTTCTCTCCATGGATGGTGGAGGGGGAAAATTCAAGGGAGAAAACATATCATTAAAACTGGAGGTTGGTGCAAGCTTGAACTCGTAAGGGCCTTCTTTTTGTCCCCAAACCTGCAATCAAATAGGAATAATTCATGTTACAGTTTTCTTTGTTGTTGTCTATATACTATATATCCATATTTGCAACTACAAAGGTAAAGCAATCTGATAGAGTTCCAAATGTGTAATGTGAGTCATGAAGTAGTACAAGACATGGATGACATGGATCAGCTAGTGGCTCAATTCATAGGAAACCCAAAATATGGGAAGTGTATACGTGAGAAAAAGAAGTGTGTGGAGCCTTGGCTGTTTTCTCCTTCATAAGAGCTCAGGTTCACCATCTTTGGTTTCATCATAATACTGTCTCCTTTTATATCATTCTGTTCCTATTGTTCGGTCTGACCTGTCAAATCAGGAGAGCTTAAGAGAAGTGTCGATGCCACCCAAGTTGTCAATGGTTGAATTTCAACAGTCTCTGTAGAAAGAGCTGGGTAAGATGATGGGACATTGCACCTTTGATGCCTAGGGTCCCAATCCAAATGGGAAGGTGTTAGGTCCCATGAACCTAAGTGGACAAGTCCAGTCCAACCCAGTCATGGGACTTGGATTTGGAAAAAATATAGGAGAAATAAGAAGGTGCAGAATGGAAATTAGAAAGAGAAATTAGTCATGGAAAGCAAATTGACATGTAATGGTTAATATAATGGGGGGAAGAGAGAGATCGGGTCAGTTATGCTCTTTTTTTTTTTTTTTGGTTAGTAGTGTGCAAGAGTGTGAACCTTTGTAGGACTGTTATCCTCTTTGCTAATAATGCAGTTCATATCTTTTAATTTGGTCTCTAACAATTGGTCCAACTTGCCAGATACCTTAATCATGGCCTACTTTATATGTAGTCTTAGAGCAAATATTAAAAGTCCGTATTCATAAACTTGTTATCAAGGTGAGGATGATAGAGTTAGCAAGGGCAACTGAGACTGACTTGTTAGGGGTTGTGCAGTATAAAACAAAGTATAGGAGAAGCTCAAATATAGTTTCTGCATTTTGGAATAGAGCCTTTGCCTATAGCCTAACTTGATGGAAATTCAAGTGGAACACAAAATAGGAAGTTCAGAAAGAAGGAAAGGAAAGTTTGGTGGGTCAAGTTTGGGCAATGTTAGGGCTGGAGAAAGCCGAGTCAATAATGGGAAAGACCGAGGAGTGCGTCACTTATCATATGGTGAACTAATAGAAAGGAAGCAAAAAGGGTTGTGTTTCAAATATGACCAAAACTTTCACCCTGTGCATCACAATGCCCTATGCGACAATTTAAGTTAATCATTATGGATGATGAGCAATTGAGAAGGGAGAGGAGGTATTAGCCTTGGAGATGGAGGAGCATCCTAGTAGAGAGCTAGTGTGTTCTACTTGTTATGCGATGGGTCGAGGAGTTAGATTTAAGCCCAAAGCCATAAAAATAAAAGGAAAAATCAAGAGTTTCACCGATAATTTTGGTTAACAGTGGAGCTTCTCATAATTTCATTTCAATGAAGATTGTGCAGTCCTTGGCGTTATAGTATGGCAACACCACCAAGGAGGGAGTCAAATTAGAAGATGGGAACCAAAAATATGTGCCAAGGAGATGTAGTGTAGTAGTTGAGTTGAAAAACTTGCAAATATGCATTGATTTTTATGTGTTCGATATGAAATAAGTCAACTTAATTTTGGCTGTGAAGTGGTTGGCCACATTGGTAGAAGTCCCTACTAATTGGAGTAGAGGAGTGACTGAATTCAAGGAATCAGACCGCGAACAAATGCTTATTCCAGCCCAGTGATATTGATAAAGAAGGACCTTATATGGAGAATGTGTATCAATTATAGAACTCTCAATAAAGCCAAAATTCTAGACAAGTATCTGATCCCTGTTATTGAAGAGTTGTTAGATGAGATGCATGGAGCTTTTTTTACTTCTCAAAGCTGGAATTGAAGTCTAGTTATCACCAGATTCAAGTAAGAGAAGAAGACAGTCATAAAACAGCTTTTAGGACACATAATGGACATGATGAAATTTAGTTAAGCCTTTTGGGTTGATGAATGCACCGGCCACTTTCAATCTTTAATGAATGATGTATTTAGACATTGCTTGAGGAAGTTTGTGTAGGTGTTTCTTAACGACATTTTAATATACAACACTGATTGGAACTCTCATATCCATCCATCCTTTGAGGCATGTTTTGGGCTGCGTTCATGATCATGAGTTGGTGGTGAACCAGAGGTATCAATTTAGTAGACAAGAGATAGAGTATCTTAGCCATATAATTTCAGTAAAAAGAGCGGCCATGGATCTTGAGAAAGTTCGGCAGGTGTTAGATTGGCCAATTCCAAAGTCTAAGAGGAGTTAGAGGCTTCTTTGGACTAACAAAGTATTATAGAAAGTTTATTAAAGATTATGACAAAATTGTCAAACCCTTCATTGGCCTTTAGCCTTTGATGAGTTGAAACAAATTAAGTTGACTCAGGTAACTTTTGATGAGTTGAAAAAAAAGTATTATAGGAGTTAGAGGCTTCCAATGGGGTAAAGTGGCTCAGGTAGCTTTTGATGAGTTGAAAAAATTATTACAGAAGCACCAGTTTTGAGGCTTCTAGATTTTACTAAGGAATTTATAATTGAGTGTGATGCAGCTAGAAGAGGTTTGGGAGCAATTTTGATGCTAATGGTAGGCCTTTAGCCTATTTTAGTAAATCTCTTTTTGAGGAAAACTTAGCTAAGTCTACATATCACAAAGAACTCATGGCATTGGTCTTGTCAATTCAGCACTACAGACCTTATTTATTAGGAAGACATTTTAAAGTTTTTTTTTATCAAAGAAGTTTGAGGCAGTTGTTGCAGAATCGAATCACAACTCCAGACCAATAATATTTGCTTACAAAATTGTTAGGTATAATTTTGAAGTGATTTTCAAACTTGGTCTCCAAAACAAGGCTGCAGATGTTTTATCTAGATGTACACAGGAGCTGGATTTACAGGTTTTGATTTCGAAACTGGAGTGGTTGGATTCTAAGAAAATACAAGGAATCCAACAAGATCCTTTTGTGCAGAAGGTGCTTTCAGATTTGCAGCAAGACCCTTCTTCCAGACCTAGGTTCTCTCTACATTCTGGTGTTCTATTGTACTATGACAGATTGGTTATCCCTGCAACACCGACTTGGATTCCAACATTACTCTAAGAATTTAATAGCACCTTGACGGGTGGACATTTAGGGTATTTCAAAATGTACAGGCAGTTGGCTTAATGTTTTTATTGGTGTGAAATGAAAAAGAGAGTTCAAGAGTTTGTTAAAGAATGCAACATTTGTCAACTGGCAAAAATATCAAGCTCTATCTCCTGCACGATTACTTTAGATGTTCCGGAACAAATTTGGGAGGATTAAAGTCTTGATTTTGTTACTGCTATACCAAAGTCCAAGGGATTTGATACTATTTTGGTGGTAGTTTCTCCAAATAGGCTCATTTCATTCTACTTATTGGTTAATCAATAAGTGGAAAGGACAGCCTGGTGAAGACGCTCTCACAATTTTCACTCAATTTCAAGATGTCAGCCTTGAGGACAAGGCTTCAATTGATTGGGGGTGGCAATGTTAGGTCCCATGAACGGATGAACCTAAGTGGGCACCTAATATAAATTATGCTACACATATATATGCTAAAAAATGCAAAATTAATATCCAAATTAAAGACATATGTATAGTTAATGATCAAAAGTGAGTTAGAGAATGTAACACGTCAAATTTGGATCATCAGTGGGGGGGGGGGTGTTTGTTCAAAGAAGAAAAACAAAACAGAACAATGAAGAAAATCAAAACAGGGAAGGAAATAAATAATCAAAACAAATAAGGAAACTAGAGAATAGAGTGGTCAGTCACCATAAAAAGCTCTAAAACAGATAGTAGAAAATGTCCTGACATCGCCAAAAAATGTCCAGGTCATGTCAGAAATAATTTGGGTTTTGCCAAAGATGAAGACAACTGAACTTGGCCAGAAATGGTGACTCACTAGAAAATAATGGCTGAGATGGAGAACGAAGCAAAGCACTACACTAGGTTCAATTTCGATCTGTTGAAGACAAAGGAGAAGCACAGAAAAACAACAATGTAATAGGGGGGACAAATCTCAAGATTGCCCCACTTAAAAATGTTCCAACATTTAGAAAAGAAGGGCAAACTTAACTTTTTTCCGCGTGTGATGGTGTGATGGTGACCGCAATGCAACAAGCATGGAATTGCAACAAGGAGCCACTCCGCTATGCTCCTCTACGATAGTGGGCGTTAGCACGCTATTGACTACTATGTTTTGAGGTCTAGAATATTTATATGAAGTGAAGGTGAAGCTTGCCAAGCTATGTATGGAGCAACCCACAATCCACTTGTTCAACTTGCTAAAGGAGACAAATTCATCTTATGTGGTTCAAATTAAAACAAGCAATGCTAGAATGGTATGGCAGCAGGTGTGCTATGATAATCCATTTGAGGACCTTTCTATTTTGCTACAAACAAGAAGTGTTGAGGAATATATTGTAGAATTCGAGTTTATCTCATCTAAAGTCAGCAATTTACCCAAGTTAAGATTTTGCCTTTTGAACCTTTAACACTTGAACTAGGTTAGAAATGATAAAAGTTGCTAGATATGTGAAAGCTGAATTGCAAGGAGTTGTCGATGGTCAAGGGAGTTTCTTTTCTAGCATTCAGACTAGTAATTCAAAGGTTCACAATAAAAGCCTTTTGGCCATACCCAATAATTTGGATATGGTTCAATTTGGTTCAAATCAGATTAATTTGGGCATTGGGCACGCATTCAGGTCACAAATTAAGGGGGGCTTAACACCCTCTCTTACTTCTCAAAATGAAAGGGAAAAGAGAGACAGTAATGAATGTAGTAAGACCCTTAAACATCTCTCATACCAGGAGTTCATGGACAAGAAATCTAAGGGATTGTGCTTTAGAAGCAGAGATAAATACCATCCTCTGCACCAAAGTCCAGAAAAGTAACGAGATTATTAATCCTTGGTGATGGTGAGACTATTAATGAAGGAGAAGAGATCATAGCGATTGAAGTTGATGAAGACAAAGACAACCGTCATGAAGTAAAGGCTATGGATCTTTGTGGGGTCACCAGCGATTTATTACAAGGAATGAAGACTATGAAGTTTGAAGGCAAGCTTAACGGAATTAGGATTCTAATTATTGTGGATAGTAGTACTTCACACTAACAAATTTTATTTCATCTCCAGTGACTACTGCTCTAGACTTATTACTTCTTGTTGCAGCCCAAAGTCCTAATGGGCCGAAGGTGCCAATGGTCCATGAAGGGAATAGTGCATCAGGATCCTACAGAGTGTATGTGAGGAGGAAGAAGGCTGTGGGCCCTAGGAATCCTATTGAATCTAGTTAGGTGGCAGAGGTAGTTAGAGGAGAGAGGGAATGACAATTGCATAAGATCAGAAGAGGAGTATGAGAGAGGGGATTCGATTTTTGTTTGCATTTGTTGTTTTGGATAGAGAAAACCCTTGTTTTCCCTATTAGGAGCTGATGCTTTGGGCAGTGGAGTTTTACCTCCACTTGTAGTTCCTTTATCAGTCCATTAATACAATATTCCATCGTTTTTCTTCCATCTTGCCTTGCTGTTATTCTATTGTGTTTATTGGTTCCTAACACTTCTACTGAAGATTTGAGTATCTGCCTAGGTGATGGACATAAAGTTATAACGCGTGGAAAATGTTCTAAATCATCTGAAATTAGAATTCAACTTGGTGGCATTGAAATTACTATTAAAGCATATGTACTGGATTTAGGTGGTCTAGATATAATATTGGGGGTTGCTTGGCTTAGGAATTTGGGGAAAGTTGTTATGGATTGGGGAGAAATGACCATGAATTTCAAGCATCAAGGCAAATCAGTTTAGCTAAGAGGGCAGAATAATGACAGCATGGTTTCTCCAGAAGGACATGCAGGGATTGGGTTCATTTAACAATTTGTTAAAAGGAGTTAATGACAGAGCCAAGAGAGTTAAGGCACAATGAAGTGGAAGATAATAGAGTTGATAAACCACAATTGACCCCTCTACAGTAGAAGGAACTCACTCAACTGTTGGAGACATGTCCCGAGGTTTTTAAGGATGTGTTAGGGCTGCTTCCAAAGAGAGCTACTAAGCATAAAATTGTGTTGCAACCAGGAGTTGGACCAATCAGTGTTTGATCATATAGGTATCCTCATTTGCACAAAAGTATGATTGAGAAACATGTGCATGGCTTGTTGCAACAGGAAGTTATTAGACACAGTTCTAACTCCTGAAGTCCAGTCATATTGGTTAAGAAGAAACCAACGTGGGAGTTTTACACAGTTCTAACTCCTGAAGTCACAAAGGACCCAGATCTTGAAAGACATAATTTAGGATTTACAGGCAGATTCTACTTCGAGATCCGGATTCAGTCTTCAGAAGGGACTTTTACTCTATAAAGGCAGGTTAGTCATATCTTCTACTTCAACTATAATTCTCTTGCTTCTGCAAGAATTCCATTCCTCTCCCACAGGACACTGAGGTTTTTTTAGGACATATAGAAGAAAAGTAGGAAATTTATATTGGATTGAATTTGTGCAGGGTTGTGATACTTGTCAGCGACAGAAATATGCTACCACCTCTCCATATGGTTTGTTACAACCCCTGCCCATTCCAGATCAAGTTTGGGAGGATATTTCACTCAATTTTATTACAGGATTACCTAAATTGAAGGGATTTAAGCAGTTGTACTTGTTGATTGCTTGTGAATGTAGGCATACTTTATTCTACTTAAACACCCATATACAGCCATAAGTGTGGCTGCTGTCTTTGCAAGAGAAGTGGTGAAGTTGCATGGCATACTGCAATCAATTCTTACAGATCAGGATCCCATATTTGTTAGCATATTTTGGCAAGATATATTCAAATTGCAAGGAATGGTGCTGAAGACGCCTTCCTCTTATCATCTAGAGACCAATGGACAAATCGAGGTAGTTAATAGGTGTTTAGAGGTATACTTACGATGTTTTGCTTCCAAGCAGCCCAAGTTGGTAGGAATGGTTGTCTTGGGTTGAATTGTGGTATAACACCACTTTTCATGCCTCTCCTAGGGCTACTCCATTTGAGGTGGTGTATGATCGAAAGGCTCCAACAGTTGTATGTTTTATCCCAGGTGAGACTAAAGTAGCAGCTGTGGCTCATAAATTAGAGGAGTGGAATGAAGCTTGAAGGCAACTAAAATATAACTTAACTAAGGCTCAAGAGCAAATGAAGAAGTATGCAGGTTCAAGTAGGAAGACAAAAGAATTTGAAGTGGGAAAATGGGTTTTTCTTAAATTGCTATCATATATGCAACAATTTGTTGCAAAATTAGTCAGAAAATGCCCCCTAGATATTATGGTCTCTTCCAAGTGTTGGAGACGTATGGGAGTGTCACCTACAAACTAATATTACCAGCTCTTTCCATGGGTAATGTGATCTGGATCATGTAGTACAAGGCATGGATCAGCTGGTGGGCTCTATCCATGAGAAGCACAAAGTATGGAAAGTGTCTATGCATATCAAAAAGAAGTGTGTTAGGGGTGAAAGTTATCGCTACATTTCGCTGGGCTGGGCAAGTTGTTATGCCATACAGTATGCTTATAGGAGGAGGGAGAGAAAAGAGAGAGATAGGAATTGTTATCTGGTTGTTGTTGGAGAGAGAATACTAATGCCTTGGCTCTGGTTTTTCATTTGTAAGAGCTCAGGTTCACCATCTTTGGTTTCATCAATAATATTATCTCCTTTTACATCATCATTCTGTTCCTATCATAATCCATAAAACTAGTCAAACTAGATAAAACGAGATAAAGAAAACTGACTTGATTGCCATCGTCATCATAACCCCTATCCCAGGTATGTATCTCATTGTTTTTCATAACTGCAAGTTCTGAAGTACAGTAGGTTGCCCCATTCTGCTACAAAAGAGAGTATAGATGTTCAATCCAACTCTTATGTATAGTAAAAGTTGTAAAAGGACGAGGATGAGAATATTAAGACAATAGTTTGAACTGAAAATTACCCATGAATTAGGAAATCCACCAGGTGGCGTTGAACCTTCATATAAGCAACGTTTTCCACGTGGACATCGCTTAAGATGTACTGTTGTTAAATGTTCTGCAATATCCTGCAAAACAAAGTACGTGTTACAATTGTTCAAATACAAAAACTCGTCATGATCCCATAGAACATACTAAAGCAATTACCTAAGAAACTGTCAACCATAATAGATTTTTGTCAATTTAAGTGTAAACAAAAATAACCTAAGTAAAGCCAAAACAACACACACAGGAAAAGCAAGAAAAGAAATGTAGGACAACATTATAATCAGAAATGCAGAAGTGACAAATCAATCCACAGATATATTTCATTCTGGTAATTAAGCTAGTAGCATTTCATGAAAGAAAACTCCATATCCCATTCTGTACAGGTAATATACCCAAGAAGCCAGCCAAGCTTTTACATCCTGCTTAGGTAAGTCATTGAATTATCATCGCAGCTCCTTATAAACAAAATTAGGGGGAAATAACAGCTTCAACTCCTCAGACAAACTTGAAAATTTCTTCACTCATTTGATCAATTATCATTTAAGAGTGGCAGCTGATATAAAGATGCATTTCACTCACCACTCTACCTTTATCAACCTCAGAAACTGGCCAATTAGATTAATGGCATCTAAGATATTTTGTAACATAATCCTTAATCATTAATATATTATGCCGTATTCAAACAGAAATATGTTTATACCCAACACTTCATTTCAGATGTGATGTCTAACCAATCTCAGGATATCCTTCAATCTATCTACAAGACTACAACTATTATATTTCAAAAATCTAAAGATTATACCTCTTTTTCGGCCTCTTTTCCCCCTTCTTTCCTTTTTTTAATCCTAAAAATAGCTTTTATTTTTTCACCACTCTCTTTCTTTCCTTTTTCTTCTTCACTCCACCTCTACAGCATTTCTTTTTAACATCCTAAGGCTTTTCTTTTTTTAATTTTCAAATCATTTTCTTTTCTGTTCCACTTGGTCACTGCTCTGTCTCTAACCAAAAAAGAAAAGAAAAGAAATGTTCATAAAGTGTATGCCTCTAACTCTAAAGCTAGGATCACAGTATGAACCATGAACATGACAAAATGCTTACCCCAATCACTTCTTCTGGCTGTGGACGCTGATCCTTCGGTCGATCACAGAAATTTTTGTACTCCTCCATGTCCCTAATTGCATAAGTACTCAACTGCCATTGAACAGAAGTTAGTATTCATGCTCAGATTTAAACAAAATATAACAGCCACTTGAAAACTGTAACAAGAAAGAGAATAGGCTATTCTTCTAAAAATGAAATAAAAATGTAAAACAGAGTGGTATCATGCTCCTAGAAATCAGAGCAAAAACATAAAACAAGTTTCCTTGTAATGTAGGACAACAGTTGGATCAATTATACTTAAATGTTGATACTGTTTGGATCAACTATACACACAAATATAGTATGGCTACTCAAATCTACAATATCCTAACATTTAATTATAATTTGATCCCTTTTCTCCTGCATCACTGTGTACATGTAATATCAGAAAAGCTAAAATTTCAGAAAATTTTACTACTTTTTGTAAGGAAGGCTTAGCATAATTTTTTGAATGCCATTCTAGAGAAAAGTCATGGTACACACCCTTGAAAGAAGATTTCAATATTGTCTTATGAAGCTAGAGATATCAGTAAGACAAGGCATCAGCATCAAAATCATCAATATACACAAATCATGATACTCAAGGCAAGTGTGGTGTGGCTAACTTAACTACTCTTCACAGAGAAAACTTATCACAAGCATTAGAACAGGTTTCATATAACAAAGTGCTAGAAGAATGGAAAGGGCATCAGCATCATTGAAGTGAACAAATACATACCTCAACATCACATTTCAACTCTTTAGGACAAGGTTTCACCATAAGAAACCTCTGCAAAAAAAAATAATAATAATAACAATGAAAATAAAGATTAGATGTTTTTTCAGTCAATACGAAAAACTGAAAACAATAACATAAAAAAGTTTAACATGCAGACATTTTTCACCAAAGCAAATAGTCAATGGAAGCATCTTGATGTTGTTTATATTTCAAATACAAAGAAACAAAAGAAAAAAATGTAAGATATATAGGTACCTGCCGAAAGGGTTTTTGTGGACTTCTCCAAAAAGCCTAGCAGCACAAAGAAAATCTTCATTTGAGCTTATCTTGAAAGCATAGATAACAAAAAAGATTGAAAACTAAAAGTCACAAACAAAGAAGGAACTTGCATACTTATATAACATTCCTCACCTGTTCAAAATACAAGACCTTAGAACCATCCACTAGCTCTGCTGCAGGACACGTAAGCATTCTGCAAATACCAAATGAAAGGATAAACAACTTATGCAAACCAAATAAAACCACAATTTAGGTGTGCTAATGAATTGGTAGAAACATAACATACCTAATATTAAAATAGTTATCAGGGTCTCTAGAAGCTTGCTCCTTTGAATACTACAATTATAAACAATTCAAAATTAAGAAATTAAAACGAAGAGAGTTGAAGAAGAGCGGAATGAAAAAAGGAGAACCCTTTGGCCGGTGAGGGACTTGGTGACAAAGCGAGCATGGTCCCAACGCGTGGTGGACTTGCGGAGTCGCTTGACGAGAAGTGCACCACCAATGAGTAGCAGAGTCTTAACGGCTAACCCTCGAGCACGGTTCCATCCATTGGAATCTGAACCCGTACCCATCTTCTGTGTTTTTAAGGAAATGAATAATAATAATAATGATAAGCAATCATGGAATCAGACTTAGTTGCGGAGCAATCTCTGAGTTGGAGAAGGAGACCACCTCGTTCCTCTCTCTTATTTGTCACTGGTTTATGAATTGTTCATCATTCAGAGCCAGAGAAAGAGAGAAAAGAGGTTTTAATTTTGATTCCACTCCTTATGTTTTCTGCCCAAATGAATCTTCATCAAATTCATTTGTGAATTTGTACCCAAAAAAAAAAAAGGAATATATCAATAAAAATTGGGCATCTTTGGCTAAAATTTAGAAACACACTCCTATACTATGAAGTTTAAATTTTATTCTTAAAAATAAAATGATCCGAATTATTCTCTTTTTCACGTAATAACATGTTTCTCTTCTTTTTATGAAATATGTGTTTTAGATTTTCATATGTATTGATATTTTTCTTTATTAAGCAGTAATTTCATTGAAATAACCTTTTAATTTTTACCTTGGTTATTTTCTAATTAGTGTAATTTTTAATCAACAATAAATATAATAAAATATGTGAAATTTATTATTAAAATGCATTTTTATCAATGACCTAATTTTTAAAAATTTTACAAAACTAAAATTTTTAAATTTATATACTTTCATATTTTACTTTATATTATATTTATAATTATTTGAGTAATTCAATCTAATTTAAATGGTGAAGCTTAAAAAATATACATAATTTTTTATATGATTTAGACTAGACATACCAATGAATATTTTATTTTATGAATACTCTTAAAATTTACCTATATAATATTATATCAACAGTATTCACTAAATTTGTTCAAGTTAATTTTTTTTTAAAATTTATTTAAGTAAATTTAAAACTAAGTCTAATGCAGGTCTTACACAAGATTTAGAAGGTCAACATGCTAAGAAAAATAGTTTATTTATTTGGCATATATTACTTAATGCAATCTCGATGTAAAAGAATTTGATCAAACACAGATTGATAATTTCTTTGAAAACTTGTAAGTTGTATGATACTGATGATGATGATATATTATATCTTTTTTTTACATTGCGATATCTCTATAAAATTGTGGTACATAATGTTTGAATGATTTGATGTCAATTTATACTTACCTGAAATTTTACACAAAATATTACTAAACATATGTAAAATCTAACGTAGAAAAAAGAAATGAAAGAGAATTATAATGATATAATTTACAGTATTATGAACAATTTAGCTTCAGTAAAATAATATTCTTTTTAATAATAATATGTTAAATGTTAGTTAAATGTTTAATTTCAGTGATTTTACAAGTTTAACTGTGAAATAATTATATAATTTTGAGTTTTTTAAAAAATAAATAAAATTGAAATACATGTTATGCAATAATATTGATTAATAAATTTAAATATATTAATTTTTTTATTAATCCACCTGTTGAATGTTGAAGATATTTAAACCCCTCAAATTTTGGAAGTATCATAGAATTTTCCTAAATAGATAGTTGGTCAAAGCAAAAACATGTTGTGACACGGTGTTTCCAGAGAGAGAGAATAAAAGGGTGAATTGAGATCTCGAGCGACAGACATGATAAATCGCAGCCATTGCTTCAAACCTTCAAATGCGCTCTCTAAATAACATTTTGACAAAACAACAAAAACAAACAAATACCAGCAAAAAGAAAGAAAGGAAGAAAGAAAATTCATAAACATTATTTTTTGAAAATGAATTTTGCAAAACTCAACGACTCGCCCATGTTCCGACAACAGGTTTCGTTCTAAATATTCTTTTTCCTCATCATCTAAAGATTGTAATCATTCTACGAATCAGGGTGCTTAAGAAAACACACATAATTAAGAACATTGATGTTTATGTTCCTGTTACGTAGAAATATTTATATATGCACGCATGTCGTGGTTGGTATTATTTTATTTTCAAGGTTCATTCATTGTTGTTTGGGAGGGTCATGCATGTGGTGTGCTTAACACGAATTGGTTGAGTAATTATGTATGTGTCATGAATGGTTGTGGATGCAGCTCCAGTGCATGGAAGAAAGTTCAGAGTCGTTACGCTCGAGATGTTGGAAGTTCTACAAAGGATGTCGAAAGTACACGTACGTGTGTTTCCACGCATTTTTGTTTATCAATATGTTGTTGCACTTTAGTAATATGTGGGGTGGTAGAATATTAGTTAAAAGCGTGTCAATTTATACGTACAATTAGACCCTCACCTCTCCTAAGAGGGTAGATACTTAATATAAATAGAAGAAAGACCCAAGCCTCCATACCTTTGGGGCAAGTTGAAATCTAGAAAGATTTTGCTCAAACCTTAAGTCTCAACAATTAAACAATTCTAAATAATTCACGAGACATTTTTGTTTTGCTTAGCGTACATAGCTATTATAAATTAGTTTAACTGTCAATGTTTTATAATTGCAATTTGTCAAATAATCATTTACATATATATAATAATAGTATATTGATTGTTAGTTAGTTTAGTGCGTTCCCAGCTTGAATTCCAAGAATCTCTCATTATTCACGTATTACTACTGTGTCAAATTGGATAAGACACAGTGTAGGCAAGATTTAAATAGGGCAGGTGTTCAATGGGGATTAGAAAGGAAATATGCAAGTAATAGAATATATGACAAGTTACTAACTGAACAATAATGAGTCCCAAAAAATGATGACAGAATTATAGTGTAGGTGTACAAAAGTTTAAAAGAAACCTACTTCAATGTGATTGCATGAACGTAAATAGCTTGTTGAGGTAACGAATATAAGTGAAAAAAATGTATATTAAATATAAATGATAAAGTTGAAAAATATATAAAAAGTGATATGAACCTATAAACTATAATATTTAAAGATTTTGGGTTGGACGTCGAATCCAAATATGTTTGCAGATGTGAAACATTTTATCTATTGAGAAAAAGAGCTCATGGAGCTCTTGAAGTTTCTTCTAAAATCATCGTACTATTCCTATAATTTGTTGAAACACCAAGTAAACGAAATATTTTGATGAGAGGAAAAACATGTTGGAACAGAGTGGGTTTATGAAGTCTTGGGTTCATGTATCAGAAATAAAGCAAAAAATGGGGAAAGAAAACTATAGGTTTTTACATTTATGTAAATTTTGATTCTTATAAAAAGGTTGAACATTTCATAAGTTAAGTGCAAATACGTGGACAGTTTATGTCTTGCTATTTGGTATAATCAAGGCATACTTTTGAGTATTGAGGTTGATTAAACATATGTTTAGCCACAGTTTTCACGCTCTTAAATTTTAATGCCCCGATATTTTTAACTTTTGTAGGGAAGGGCTTGGAGGGGCATATGATGGAGACATTGCATTTGCAAGTGCCCTTGAAAGTTTTGGAGGAGGGCATAATGATCCTCTATTTGTAACTTTGGGGGGTAAGTCTTGTTGGTCTCTTCCCTACTCTTGCCTTTTTGGCTTTTCTGATAAAATAAACTTGTAAATTTTTTGTCATATGCTTGTTGCTTAGCAAAAGCCATTAACCGGAAATAGGTGTGCAATGTGTTTGGAGATTATAATTTGACTTTTTTCTAAAAATTATAAAATCTATACTAAGTTTTTATTAAAAATTACAAAATTTAATTCAACTCAATTCATTAATGTATTAAATAAAATAATTTTTAACTAAAAAATTTTATTATATGTGTAGGAAAACCGCTATGATTTAGGTTATATTTTTTGGCCATGAGCTCACATAAAAATTTCAGTTGAGCATAACAAGTCATATATTGTAGTTGGATGTATACTCTAGCTCTGTGCATGCTTTGTTTAGGTCGTTAAAGGAACTTCTAAAACTCCTTGGATAATGTGATCTAAATGCTTCAAATATTCTAATAATTTGAAGCATGCTATGTTTATTTCATTTATTCCCATGATTTTTCACCATCATGCTTTATTTGAATTTCCAAGAAAAGAAGTATTTTCTTTTTTGTTATTAATGTCGATAAACTTTGTGTTGGTATCATTAGGACCTGTTATGACCAAATTTGCTATTGCTATGAGAGAAATTAGTACATACAAGGAACTTCTTCGGTCACAGGTAATGATTTGTCTAATGTTGATCGTCTTTTTTATGTTTTAGTAATGTTTTCTTTTATTTATAACATGTTTAGATTTACAATTAAATGCCTATAAATTTACATTTTTTCAACATCATTAGTTTCAAACGATCTATGTTTAGAGACTTGTGGCTTTTCATGTGACTCAACTCTTTCTCAAATCTAATGATATGTCTGTAGTCTTATTGTCTACCTGTGCATCCTTCTAAGTAGGATCAAACTACAAAATGAATTGTTGAAAATCCCTTTACATGATTTTTGAGTAAATAAAAAACAATTGTTCTAACTGATATTGCCAAGCTGACTCTACTTAATTTGGCTTCTTAGGTGGAGCACATGCTGAATGACCGGTTACTGAACATTCTAAATGTCGAAATCCTTGATGTCAAGGTACATTGTGAGTAGCAGAAGTTTTTTAAATGTTTTAAGTATGGCAAATGCTAAGGTACTTTCTAAGAAATCAAAAATGAAAAAAAAAATTGTTAAAAATATAATTAATAAACATTCTTTCGTAATTTTTAATGCAGTCAAATATATTTTTCTGAAAAATGTATATAAAAACCTTTAAATAGTGTTGATTGTTATACCCTAACCTATGGAATGTTAGCCATATCATACTTGCATATAACTCCCAGTAATTTTTTTGGAGGACTTTTATAAGTCATAAGTACGTGATGTTATCCCTCCTCTCTGAAGCCGCTAATGTCATCCCTACAAAACTTCAATTAGTATTCTACAATGCTCATGAGACATATCACTGTCACACAAAATTAAGATAACCTGTCAAAAATAAGATTCTCTCTATTAGTGCTATATAAATGGAATTTATTCAGTTTTTTTTTTATATTTTAAATAAATAACCAATGTGCAAGAATAAGCAGCAACTCTTTAAATAACTTATGAAATTAGGAGTTTAGAAGCATAAAGAAATGAGTTGTAAAAATGGTGACACAAAAGGAGTTGAGTTTAAATGAATAAAGAGCAACCTCTCATATAATAATTCTGCGGAATGATCTAAATCAAATTGCTGAGGAAGCTATCTGTGGTGCCTTATTTCCACAGATTTACTTTAGGCTCCTCCAAATGCAAACATATTTCCAGCATTACACAGTTAAATAAGTGACTCCCCCCCCCCCCCCCCCGGGCAAATTCTATACATTCTCTGTCTATATAAAACACACAAACACACATAAAGTTTAATTATACATTTGATTATTATGTTTCATGTGTAAATTTTAACTCTAAATAATTTTATTTAAATTTATTCTCTATTTTTTAATTGTTATAATAAACAAATCGTTAATTTTCTCTTCTTAAAATTCTTAAATTGTTATTTTCTTTTTCAAAAATATCATGAATTAAACTAATTGCATGATATCATTTTAACTCTCTTTCACTTAAAATTCATCAATTCAAATATCATATTTTTACTCAAATTTTTTTAAAAAAATCAAATGTTTATCCTTTTGAACACTCACTTCACATTTTATAAAGTCCTTTAATTTGTAATTTAAAACTTTTCAAATTATTTCTTATTTCAAATGTGTCATAAACCCTCAATTATTTAAATAAATAATATAAAAAGAATGTCAGGGTTTTGTGCAGATAAAAATTAAATAGCTTAATTGTAACATCTGAAAAATGAAATGGTTAATTTAAATATAAAAATGACTGCAAGATAAAAATATATATACTTAAACTAATTTTTTAATTTAATTGTTTTTAATAATATTTTATTTTAGCCACCCCAATAAGATTTACTTATATCTGCCACTGCTTTCAAATAGGCAAATGGCTGTACTTGAGAAAACTAACACTCAGAATTTGAGTCTCTAATTTGAATCTTTAATCAACCAAAACTTCAAGTTCAAACCAAAAACATCATCTAATAGGTGACAACAATCTTTAGCTTAATAAAAATTCTGGAGCAAAGAATTCTTGACCTTGATTTCAAATGTTTACTGTCTTTGGGCATCTTATACAACAATTCAACGAAATGAATTATGCTTAACATCTAAGGCTAACACTGTGAATCACTCGTTTTTATCTATTAAAATCTTAAAGATCAAAAGATGCCTTCATTCTTTGCTAGCATTGGCTTGAAATTATTTGTTTTGTATTCTGAGGTTGCTATATGCAATTTTATGTACGTACCAAATTTGGAGCAAAGAATCTATATTTTATTTGTTTAAAAAGAAAATTTTAATAATTTAAAGTAATGAAATCAGAACTCTGATGAGAGTTGATTTTCATATGTTCAACAAAATATTTATAACTATTGCCTTCAAATGGTTTGTGATCTTTTTTACACTTTTAATGCTTCAAGTGATGCTTGCAGGAAGCTCGAAGACGTTTTGACAAAGCATCCCTCGTACATGATCAGGTGCTTCTCAATTTCGTACAAAAATTTCACAATATTACCTCTGCTGCCTCGTTTTACAATGAAACAACATTCTTGCTGTAGTTTCAGTCAAATTCTGTGTTTTAATGTTTAATCGTAATAAACACCAATTAAATTTCTATTTCAGTTGGTAATCTATCATATTCTTACATAATGGACTTTCAAATCACTTTTCATTGTAATGCTTTAGTTACTTCATGAAGTTCAATTTGAGCATGCACTTTCAAGTTTCAATGATTGTCTTGAAGAAATAGCAAAGGAGTAAGATGCATGTGTGTATTCAATGTCCCCAAAACAAGGAAGAAATTCAGTCTATTTTAAAAGAAATTAGATCTGTTGAAAGTTCATTGGCCTATCTCTTCATCATATCACAAATACAATGTGGATTTTATGTTATAGGCACGTGAGAAGTTTATGTCATTGAGAAAAAGCACTAGGATGGATATTGCTGCTGTTGTAGAAGAGGTATGCTATGTAGCTTACCTTTGGCATTTTTACTCATAAATATTGTCTTAGCTTGTCATGGGTTACCATGATCTTTTTTAATCTAATTTGGTAGAGAGACATTCCAGGAAATGCACAATGCAAGAACCGCATTTGAAGAAGCTCGATTCAATTTGGTAATCTTAGTTGAACAAGATATGCTACTTTGAATAGTATGAAATGTATAAGTTTAGCTCTTAACTGCATAACATATTTCACCTCCCATTCTAGGTAGGGGCTCTTCATAATGTTGAGGCCAAGAAGAGATTTGAATTTTTGGAGGCTGTCACTGGAGTTATGGATGCTCATCTTCGATATTATCGACAGGTATATGACATAGTTACATATGACATTTTCCAAATGTAGGGATATGACATAGATATAATGCTGCACTTACGACGTTCTTCAAAATTATTTCTATTGCAGGGATATCAGCTATTACATGATCTAGAGCCTTTCATTATTGAGGTTGTGTTATTTACTCTTCACTTCTTTTACTTTCAACTCACTGAAGATTGGAAATGTGCTTCTTTTCCTTAGATAATAGATTTAGTTTATTTTATTTATTTGTCTAAGGTTAAAATAATACATTTGAAATGCTTAATATAGTATGCTTTCATCAAAACCATAATGACATGTTTCAAGTATCAAGCAAAATTGTAGTTTTGAAAATATTATTGGTTTTTCTCATTTATTTACTCAATGGAATATTCCCTTTCTTGTATCTAACATGTAGGTTTTGGCTTATGCACAAAAAGCAAGAGAAAGTTACAATGAGGAGCAGATTTCTCTTTGTGAAAGAATGTTAGAGTACAAAAAACAAGTTCATCATCAAAGTATGATGTCCTTGAATGGCCCTTATACTTCTCCAGGTAAAGATAGAGCTCAAGTGCAACCTTTTTCTAGGATATCAAATGAAGTGGTAGATGCTGTAACAGAATCTGCTGCAAATGGAAAGGTATTTAAGGGCATGATGCTTCACTCATTCTCTGATAGAATATGAATTCACTTCATTCTATATAGCTATTCATTTGAGTCCTATCCATTGGCATCTCTTCATCTCATAAAGTGCAACATTTAGGTCCAAATCATTCGACAAGGGTATCTTTCAAAACGATCCTCCAACTTAAGGGGTGACTGGAAGAGAAGGTATTTTGTTCTTGACAGTCGCGGAATGCTTTACTACTACCGTAAACCCTGGAATGGGTTACATGTAAGTATGCAACTGAAAGTTAACTACTCGTAGCATGTTTGCATTCACATTTGAATGAGTATGGATTCATGTTTACTTCAACGCTACAGGTTATAGATTCTTAATTGGATTCACGTTTATAGCTTTAACAACGTGTTTCCAAATATACATTAAGTATTAGTACTGTAGGTTAGGTAATGCTCATTTCATCACCTTATCTTGTTAATAAATAAGCATATTATTTTAGGGTGGCAACCAAGCATCTTTACAAAAGACTTGTGCTGCTGACAATAGTGCTGGGATTCTGAGTCGATTGCTTTCTTCACATAACCATGGAGTTGTCCCTGATGAAAAATCCGTAGCACGTCATATAGTGAACCTATTGATATCAACAATCAAGATTGATGCTGAACAATCAGATTTAAGGTTTTGCTTCAGGATTATTTCACCAACAAAGAGTTATACATTGCAGGTACTCATCCCAAAAATTTAATATATGCAGTTTGGCATTTATAGTTAATATTACTCCTCACTGAGGAAAAATGGCAGGCAGAAAATGCCCTGGACCAGATGGATTGGATGGAAAAGATAACTGGTGTAATTGCCTCCTTGTTGAGTGTACATACACTGGATAAGGTACATACTTCTGTTTTGGCTTCTGTTTACTTGCATTAAACAAGACAGTGTCTTAATATATTATGTGGGTCTAATATATAATTTATAGACCTTAATTATGATTTACTTAGTAAAATTGCAAAACCTTTTAGCATTATCATCTAATATTTGTTAAAAGAATTAAACTTTGATAACATCAACCTAAAAGGTTTAATTCTGTTATCTGTAACAAATCATCATTATACTGTGCAAAAGAAATTAACAGTGCCAAATATATATAATTATAATTAGTGCTGAGAAATTTTTGTCACCTTTTTTATAAGCATCTAGAATTTCTCATCTAATGTCTTGCTCATTTGAAATTGCAATGACATGGAATGTTTCTTGACCAATTCTTAAGAAAAATTCTTCTATATGCATCCTCTAGTTCCTGAATTAATTGTGACTACTATAATTATTAAACTATTATGTGACAGTCAGATGACTCAGAAAGCGGCGATTGTTACTCTGCTAGCAAGATTGATTCCTTACAAAGTTCTCCAGATGATGATCATGCATCAAGTGGAGATTCTGCATCTGAAACCTTGCAAAAGACCAAGAACATTATAAAAATTGGAAAGCCAATTGATGTTCTTAGAAAGGTTAGCGGGAATGACAAATGTGCTGATTGTGGTAACCCTGACCCAGATTGGGCATCCTTAAACCTTGGCATCCTTATATGCATTGAATGTTCTGGTGTTCACCGTAACCTTGGTGTACATGTATCAAAAGTAAGTAGTTGAGGTTGCATATTTAAGAGTATGTTGTTGTATTGTACTTGGTTTGCATCTTAACAATTCTAAATTGTCCTTTTTTCGGTTTTGTTTTTTAATTGAGCACAGTATATTCTTAGTAATTTTTGTGCAGTACTTATTTTATTATAAAAAATCGTAACTTCAGCCCTTTAAGCACCAAAAAATAGTAAATTTTTAAATTTTAATATAATAAATAGTTAACAAAAAAAACGTTTTATTATTAATCGTGAAAAACAAAAGGCTTTCTTTTTTTCACTCCTCGTACGTGCAATTAAGGTGGAGTTAAAACATTTTTTTCCCCAGGTAAGATCGCTGACACTTGATGTGAAAGTATGGGATTCCTCTGTCTTAACCATGTTTCAGTCACTAGGGAATCTCTTTGCAAACTCAGTTTGGGAGGAGCTGTTGCATTCAACAAGTACTTCACAAACTGATGACACTCCAGACGGGTAAGTTTTGCCATAATTGATGGGATTAACTAATTAAATTTCCCCTAACATGGACCCTGCAATGTAGTTCATCCAAGGTACCCAAAAAGTTATTTCACGCAAGAAAACCAGCACATGATGATCCTATTTCACTGAAGGAGAGATTCATTTTTGCAAAGGTAATAACTTACAAGTTATTTCCTAGTTGGGTAGGTGAAATGAACCCTTTCAAGTTTTCAATTTTACGATTCTTAGCTTAAGTTTCTAGCTTAGGAAAACAATAAATCTGCTCTATCATTGTATTGAAGAAGCTTGGTATTCTATAACCCAGAAAAAATAACCATGGGATTAGGATATTTATTTACCCTTGACAATCAATTTGTGGCACCCTATTGCCATTTCCTACATGATTTGCAACCAGTTACATTTTAGATACCTAAGAGGAATGTCTAATCCTTTTCTTTCCTCATTTTTTTTTTATTAAAAAAAGAGTATTGATTAATTATATTTATTACTTATAGTCCTAAATATAAGAACTCTTTTATCTACTTTAAAATTACTTTTAAAAAAGCTAATTTTTAGTAGCTAGAAGAGATCTTGTTACAAAAGTATTTCATAATGGGAGGCTAAATAATGTCAGAGAGATAGAAATTGATAGATTGTTTCGTTGCAGTATTCTGAGAAAATATTTGTTCGGCGGGTGACAAAAAACAACCGTCTCCTTTCGGCAGCACAACAGGTAGCAGCAAGCATCTGTGCCAATGACAAGAAAGCAGTGTACCGACGCATTGTCAAGTCAGATGTCGATGTCAATCTTGTTAGTGGGGAAGCATTATATGGTATCTTTTCTTATCCCCAAACTCTTCAAATATTATTATTTTTATAAAAAAAAAAACTTGTTAAACAAGTTATGTGTCAAAATGCATCCTAAAAAGAATGAATTGTTGTGCAGGCTTTTCTTCCAACATGCCTTCTTCAACTAATTCGAACATATCATCTCAAAGTAAGATTGAAATAATGGAAGACTTCCAAGATGGTTCTACTGCGCTTCACCTGGCATGCCTAACTGGTGATGCTGCAATGGTAGAACTGCTCCTACAACATGGCGCAGATGTAAATGCTATTGATTCAAGAGGTCGAACACCACTGCATTACTGCATTATGAGGGGAAAGAATGCAGCTGCAAAAGTGCTTATTACAAGGTACTTATTTTCAAAGATTTCTTAAACACCTCATTTTTTTTATTGCACCTCTTTGATTTCACTCATTGGATTTCTCTATCCATATGCAGATAAATGTAAATACATAGATTTTGAATATCATTTATGAGCTGTCTATTGCGATTTTTAAGTGTTTAAGTAATTTTTATTTCAAAAAATTCTATTTTTTATGACCGTTATAATGGTAGCGATATTTTATATTGCCAAACTTTAAATATAAGTGACAATACACTCATATTATTTATTTATACAAGTTTTTTAATATGTGCTTAAGGAGATACAATAAGAAATTATTAAATAAAAATATATATTAAAATTTATAACATTTAATGTTATTATTGAACTATATTTTGTAATATCTTATGTTTTATAATAAAAAAATACGATAAATAAATTTTTATTATGTATTGTAGGACACGTTAAAAATAATTGGATATATAAAAAAAATTTATAGACTTAATGCAGATCATTTGCTAGGGGCTTACATTAATTAAGTGCAAATTCTTAGACACTAATATTAAATTAAGTTACAATGTGATACATGAATGTAGTATTTCCCAAGTGCATGAATGAAAACTATTTACTACACATGAAGTTTTTATTCCAATTTCATACATGGGCATTTGGTACTCTCTTGTGAAGGTAATGCATGTTTTCTCAATATTGTAGCTTCGTTCTATTCATATTTTCATTTTTTCAATCAATTTATTCTGTCCCCTTTCCTTGGTAAGCTCCATGCAGCAGGAACTCAAACTTGAGATTAGGTTGGTTGTCTAGGAGGAATTGAAATCTCATGCATAAAATACGGGTTATGCTTTAACCCTGTAGTATCTTTCTCGTTATCCCATGAGAAATATTGCATTTTAATTTTACTAAAATATTATCGTCAGTTTATAAGATTCATTTTAACCATTACCAAGTAGTAAGATTTTATTAAAAAATATTCATTATATAAAAATATATAAGTATTATAAATTTTTTTATTTCTAAAATTTTTAAAGGCGTATAACAAAATCATTAATTTTTTATTACTATCTCTATTCCTGTTTATTTGTCTAAAAGAAGAAGATATTTAATCAGTTATTGAAATTAATTGCTAAAGTTATGAATTTATCTTTTATTAATATATTTTTTTAACTCTTTGGACTACTCAAATAATATAAACATTTTATAGTAAACGTTAACCAATACAAAGGGCATTGGATAAAGAATTAGAATAAAATTGTGTTCAAAAAGTGTTATTAATGCATATTTTTCTCTGATTTTCAATGCATCCCAACATAATTTTTAATAATAAAAAAATACTTCCGAGTCTTAACTAATGTCCTAAGAGCATTGATTGGATAAATCCATATTTTATATAGACAAAAGGTAGAAAAATAGTAATTAATGTTGTTCTTGAACTTCTACATAAACAGATAATTTTTTTTTTCTCGTTCTGGACCAATAAATATATAGAAATGGTGACTGAAATTAACATGCCTTGCAAACTTCAGTTTCCATCATAACTGTCCCATATTGTGTGTGTGACATAATATGCTCATAGTTAGGAAATTTACTAAAAGAAATTACCAATTGTTTCAGGGGTGCCAATCCAGCTGCCGAAGACGAAGAAGGCAACACTCCTCTTAAGCTTGCATCAGAACCTGACACTATTAGCAAAGGCATTCTTGCTCTCTTAAGCAGATGACATGCCCTCAAAACTTACTATAAGGGCTCAAAAAAACCCATGTCTCAGATTTTTCTCTTGGTCCAGATATCAGAAGCCCATAAAAACAAGCATAGCCCAAAAGCCCAAACCAGACGTTTGGTCATTTATTTCAAGAAACAACTAGCCCAAGAGGCTTGAAGCTGGTGGGTTGGTTATGGTCGGCCATGTAGTAAGGGATAGGCTGTCTAATTGGGCTTCTGGTCCATTTTAATTTTCAACTACAGAGCCTGAGTTTTGCAACATTCATCCTTTTCAATTTGTGGAAGTGTGTATCAGGATCGAAGTTATACAGGAATTGTATATAAGTTTCAACCAGGTTTAAGTTCCCATTTTAGTGATGACGACATTGTAGTAGCATGATGATCAATGACAAAAAAACTAAGTGCCTATTTGAATGTATATTAAAATGGAGTTGGGAGGACTTCTAATACATATTATGTGAAAGTAAAAAAAAAATTAAGTTCTCTCAACTCCTTATAAACATTATCCAACCAGACTTTAAGAGGAACAAGGATTATTTTACACAAATTTTCTAAGATCGTAACTATGCCACTGATTATGACTGCATTAGTTAGATTAAATGCATGTTATTTACTCTTTGTGGTGGATTTGTTAGATTCAATGTTCGTACATATAAAAGTCAGCACAATTTAATTTATGAAGGTAATAACCCCCCTAGTTAAATCATGATTTGGCGAAATTCATTTAACCATCATTTTTTCGTGTTATCGTAATTTTCACCCATGTTCTATCAAGCAACATAGTTTTGACTGTTTAACTCCCGAATCGAAATTATACCTCAACCTGCCATTATAGTAAGCCAATGTTTTTTCCACTATCGTACGAGTTGCACTCCTTCCTATGTGTTTTTCCTTTTCTCATTTTCGTTTATTGTCCTAACATGGTGAAGGTTAATCAATGCCTAAATTGAGTTGTTTTCCTGTTTCTGCCAAAATATGATTAGTTTGCGTCACACTGTGATGTAGCCTGCATCATTACTCTCCTTTTTCAAAAAAGAATAATCTTATTTACTAGTCTTTTATTTACCTCGTTTTTGGTCAGTTTATTAAAATAATAATAATTTATTTTTATCAATTTTTTGAGTGAGTATTTGAAAAAAAAAACCATATCTTCAAAATAATTAATTACTAAACATGCACTTATTATATGAAAAATATTAAACATTTTTTAATATTTTCAAGATAGTAAAGATATTTATTTTTTAATAAAATAGTTACAAGTATCCTTAAAACATTAGTTACAGAATTAAAAATTAAAAGTTTTTATAAGAAAATATTGTCAATTATATACTCTCGTTAAATTTTATAATACACTTAATCATAATATTCAATAAAAAAAATTATATATTAATTTTTTAACCAATATTAATAGGACAACAGTAAAAAAGTTTAAAACTAAACGATTTGAAAGGCTTCTCTAGAATCCGAGTTTCATCTCTCTACATAGTTCAAAGATAGGAAGGCTTTGTACCATCCAAATCGAGTTCTGGTTTAAAAGCTTGGAGGGCTCTGCAATACTCAAACCTAAACTCGACCTAAATGAAACACCCCTTCCATACAAAGGCACACAATTAGTCAATAATTATTGATTCCTTGGCCCAAAGCCAAGACAAAAGGGCAAGTCAACCAGACAAAATGACAAGCTTATTATTTTTGCTTGATTTGTTATGACTTTAACCACAATTAATCAAATCAATTATTATTTGAGACTGAGCGAGAGAAGGCATTTTCACTCTCTTATTCTCATTAATTGGTCCAAATTTGAGATATTTGTCATTTGTATAAACATCATTGATATAAACATTCACTCCCGAGCTAGAGAGAATGGTAAATATGGTTCAAAAGAGTAGCTTAGTTTTCAGGGTATAAATTTGTATGCATGCATGTATATAATTACCAACATTGTGTTGGCTTGATCCTCCGTAATGATATATATGGTACATGAGTAATGTTCGAAAAACCAAATTAAGATATTAAACAGACAAAAACTTCATATGAAAATTTGATTAGTTTAAACGGTTAAATATGTTCCAGGTAAGGCTTTTCTATATTTCTATGGTCGCATTCCTCTGCTATCCTCTTGTTTTAGGAGTTCCATTTTTCATCCAGTTCCTTACGAGTGTACAAATTCCCCTCCAGCCAGTATTAAGCCAACAGTATCTTAACATAAAAAAGCCTTCTTATATTATAAGGGAAATCCGTAAATCAGACGAGGAACTCACACTCGATGGTGAAGTAGTCCTCGGAAGAAAACACATTATTTGACCCCTAAAAGGGACTGATGCTGCTGGCTTATGGGATGTAGCAGAAAGGGGCGTAAAAAAACTTGCACTGAGAATCACTGAAACAAACTCTAACTCAAAGATAATGCATCTTATACCTTATCTATTATACCTCCTATTATAATAAATGAGTATCTGCTTGTATCAAAAATGCTTAAAAAACCTTCTATTCAACTTTATCTGAAACTTTAAATATTATTTAAATTTGGAAGCATTGTCGCTGTCAAGCTTATACATTAAACATGTTTTTGGATTGGGGATGGGTTTATAAATTTAACTTTAGATAAATTTGACCTTACAAAAATAATTTTAATACAAGGATTTTTAAATATGTTGTTAGTAATGTAAATATTGTTAAATTAATAATGTAATATTAAATCTTGAGGCATTTTATTTATCGATACACATTCAGTTGAATTTTTCTTAATAGCAAAAACAACAAAATTACATTTACGATAAGGTAACAAAATCAAAAATTTGATGCAAAATTATTTTTCTAAAAATTGCGAAAAACATATTTACTCTACATATATGAGATGATTCTATTTACCTCATAGAATCAACGTAAATATCGATTGACAGTTAACTCTAGTTTATTTCAGAGATATTACATTATTTTGTCGGAACATGGTCACTATATGAAACAAGAGTACAAGAATTGTCACATGTACAAGATATCTTTATGAATACTGCTTTATTAGGTTACGATTTACTGTCATCTGATAATAATTAGGGGCAGCACATGAGTAGTTGTCTGCATTTTATTTTTTCTTTGCACGAAATTGGCTGTATTTGATACATGCAACTACTTTGTATGCATATCAAAATCACCGGAAAAAAAAAAAGGAAAAAAACACTTGACTAACTCATTTATTTATCAATATGTACGTGATTAATTTTGGGAATACATATTTATTGTTTTTAAATAAGGTATCGTTTTAAAAAGAATATATATATATATATATATATATATATATATATATATATATATATATATATTACTTAACAATACTTGACATATTGTCTAGATTAAAAAATAAATAACTACTTATCCATTTGTAGAATTTTATCATAAAATTCGAAATAAATTCATAATGTCATAACGAATTATCGCATGAGTTCATGATTTGTTACGTTCCACCGTGACAAATTGAAATAAAATAAAAAGATTATAAAACTTTCTTTATCAAAACCCCTGTTTAAATATTTATATAATAAGATAAATCAAAATAAGTTTTATACAAACTCTTTTAAATAAAAAAAAACGAAGAAAAAATGTATAAAACAAATTATTTTCCTAAAATTAATAGTGGGTTGGGCTCAGTGATGATAAATGGTGTGCAGAATCTTCTTCAGTTGATTGGTTGGCTTTCACGATAGAACTACCAAACTACTACATATATTGTTTTGACCAATAGAAAGTTTAGGTATCACATATTTGTGGCAATATCTTTTCCCCTCGATATTATGAACTGAAATTCATTGGAAAGCCAAACAATGACTGAACCATTACTATTAAAGATATTATATTAAAATTTGTAAAAATATAATAAATAGATTTTGATAAAATACTATTATAATTAGTCAGCTTAAGTAAATGTTTTTCTTCTTATTATAACATAAGCATGAATGAAAGAGCAAGAGAGAGGTCAGTCTAGTTGAACAAAGCAATGTCTCCTAGTCCAAAAGTTCTGCATTTGCAGAGTGAACAGCATCTACTTGGGTATGGATACTTCGCTTTCCCACATATAATGGAAAACAAAGAATCGACCCATTTAGGGTCACAAAGTGTTGGGAGTCATGTGAAACTTGCCAACCTATTTTCAGCATTTGTAAGCACATAACTTGTTTCTCTACTACGAGAGTTCAGACGTGGGCCAATATGAAAAGGACTTGTAATCCTTAGGCTTCAACATTATCCCCTCTGAACAAAGAAATACACGTTTGGAGAAGAATGTCTATAACACATTTTTTAATATATTTTTCATGATTAGTTAGTTTTTGAAAAGTTAAACTACATATTTTACAAATTAATCATTTTACAAAATAACTTTAACATTTTAAAAATTAATAATCATATAAAATATATTGAAGATAATGCTGGTAGCATTTCTCGTATTTGGTTCATCTACTCAACCCCTTTGAAGCTACAATCTTGAACACTGAACAAAGATATTTGGGGGAGTAATGATTGGCCTAAAGGGATCGTCTTGGTCAAAATTGATTACGATAGAAAGAGATTGAGATGGCATGCATGCACAATTTTAATATCAAATGAAAGAAGGCACGAGGCGGTGCAATTATGGGAACAAGTCTAGTTACGTTCTCATAACCATGCTCAATCGCTTGTTTCTCTTCTCTCGCGAAGCAGTTCATTTGTGCTTGCAATGCAAGTACTTACTTTTTTTTGCCTCATTTGTGTTCTATATAAATCGTGTCCAGCTGTATTGTTTTGTTATATGACCATACTTTGTCACTCTATCCAAAACAAATTGCACGACAGTGTAGGTCAAGTCAACAACTTTCATTCAATAATTTTATAACTTTATTAAGATCACCTATTTTCATATTTTTTTAACTTGATTTGTATTTAGAAAATTAGTATTTATTAATTCTTTAATTAATGCGTAAAAACTCTTGTTTGATTCATAAAACTAATGTTTTTAATATTGAGTTT